ACCTTGACCGCCATGATCTGGTTGCTGGGCTTGTGCACCATCTTGTTAACGGAGCCGTAGGCGCCCCGGCCGATCTCGCCCAGGTCCTTCAGGTCCTCGGCCGTGAAATCCCAGTGCTGCTCCGGGGAGATCTTCAGCTTCCCGGAGGACTCGATGCTGTGCGTCCGGAGCCTCTCTCTGGGGGGAGAAAGGAACCAAGGGGTGAGGACGAAGCAAGGAGAGGCATTAGAGAGGCTAAAGCTCCACAATGGAAAGGGACAGTATGATAGAATTTTATTTTAGGATGGGAATGAGCTACAAAGACATTCGGGAAAGCCTGGCGTTTCAAGGAACCGGCATTACCGAGTAGGGTTGTCACAATACTAAAATGTTCAACTCGATACCGAGGCAGATGGCCGCCCACCCTGAGCCATGGTTCTGCTCGAGGTTTCTGCCTGTTGAAAGGAAGTTTTTCCTTGCCTGTGTCGCCTAGTGCTTGCTCATGGTGGGAATTGTTGGGTTTCTGTAATTATCTTCAGAGTAGGGTCTGACCTGCTCTGTTTGGAAAGCTGTGAGACAACTGTTGTTGTGATGTGGCGCTATATAAATGAAATTGAATTGAATTTAATTCATTTTAATTTTGTAATGTCATTGTCTGAACGTGTGTTTGGACTGATTTTGTATTTTGTGATTTTGTGTTGTTTGATCTTCCTGCCTCAGGACGACAGATGTAAACTAGCAACTATGCTAGAATCTGGCTCATTTACAATCTGTATGAGATTGTTCATTAATGTGCACTGTCCTGATTAAATAAATAAATAAATACTCAGGAAAATACTCGATACCATTTTATATTCCACAAGGATAAAAAACAAAGACCCCAAAATTTTACTGAATTTTGACAAGTTAGTGTCTTTCATTTCAAACTGACCTGTTACTAATGTTATTGTGACTGGTGGCCCCCATTAATAACCCTAATCCCCCGTCCGGGGGGGTATTGTTTACTCACATGTGCGGGTTCTGGAAAGGTGGCCCGGCCGTGTTCAGGGAGAATCTGGTGGCGGGTTTGATGGAGGGGTTGGCGAAGTTCAGCTTCAGGGCTTTGCGTTTACCTGAGCGGGAGGAGCAGCATCAGTCAGGTTCTTAAAAAGTAGGAGCCCTCCAGCACCACCCAAAAGGCAAAAGGTTAAAGGTCGGGATCGTGAACAAAAAGGGGAACGTCAAACAAAACCACAAAACGGAAACTGAAAAGATGCGTGAACGTCACCAAATTCACCAAAATGAATGGATGGCATGCTTTTACAGATGCGGCGGGGGGGCAAAAACTGCATACAGGTCCCAATAAATGCTCACCTGCACTGTTTGGACAGTAAATCCCACAAAAAAGCGACCACAGTCCTGTGTATCTGTGGCCTAAAGTGTCTCATTCCTCACATCTTCTTCTAATAAAGTGGACCCACACTACAGTTTACACAACACTCCTGTCAAAAACACTAGCTGCTTCCCAAAAAACTGCAATTCAGATGACCAACGTACCCTTAAATAGGCTGTAAGTACATCGGTTTTGGCACTTTCATTGAAAAATGTTAACTAAATTTCTAATGTAATGATTTAGCATCAGAAATAAATCAATTTTGTCAATGCCAAGATTATTTTTTTTACCTTTAATCTCAAATTAAAACTTGGATGTTTTCATCTTGGAGGCCTGCTCCCTCTCTGCTGTGCTTAAGCTAAGCTGATTCCACTTCCTTTGCCTTGTCCACCAACTCAATGGGAGCCAAAATAGTTTTTTTTCTATTATCTGAAAGGATCTGAGCAACACCTAGTTAAACTACCGGGGGACTGGTAGAGACGCCACTTTTGACTAGCTACAAAACCGTTTGGTTTGCATTTAAAGTGCAGTTCCTCCAAATGCTAACGGCCATCGATAGATCCCACATTTACCTCTTAGACTTTTAAAAATCCGGATCAAAACCAGCTCAAGAACCAAAGCTCATATGGAAGAAAAGGGAAAACAGAAACTATCCTCTCTGTGAGGGAAGAAACCTAAAAATCAACACGATTCAGCCCATTAGCTTTTATCCGTGCATGATCTCTGCTCACTTTAAAGGTAACCTGCATCCATGCTTTGTCTCAGGAAGCCATCTGAGATCCTTTAAATGCCAAAAACATTTACCATTTACATCTCAGCTTATGTGGCTATAAAAAAAGCAACGTCACAGCCTTAGACAGTAGCCGTCATCTGACCTGTGTGACTCACTTAAATGAAAACAACTAAGGTCATAAAATCTGTGTCATACTGGAAAGTCAATTACAGATTAGAGGGTCATTTTAGCTCTGTGGAGCTAGAATTTTTCTTTTTAAAAGAACTGATAGATAGATTTCTAGATAGATAGATTTCTAAATAGACAGATTTCTAGATAGATTTCTAGATAGATAGATAGATTTCTAGATAGATAGATAGATAGATAGATAGATAGATAGATAGATAGATAGATAGATAGATAGATAGATAGATAGATAGATAGATAGATAGATAGATACTTTATGGATCCCCAAGGGGAAATTCATGAATTAGCCAGTGATATTTCTTCTGGTTAATATATTGTATTCATCAGTGGGCTTCATTAATATGTGGGTCACAGATTCAGATGCAAAACATGCTGCTCCCTATCTATATGGTTCCCCCAGTAAAAAGTAATGAGATACAAAAGTGAGCTCTCAATACTCTTCTCTGATGTTTTAGCTTGAATCAAACAGCATGACTTCACTTCCCGTGGCTCCTTCCGCTTTCTGATCCGTGCAGCTGAGAAACCCCCCCCCCGTTCAAAACGTGAAAAGGTGAGAATGGGACGGTGGTGAAAGCAAAAACACACACGGGGATGAGAGCATGCTGCTTCCATTTCACCTCGCTCCGCCCAAAACCTCGCAGGAATGTGTGTGCGGGGATCCGAGAGGCTTCGGAGAGAAGCTCCGACTGTTAGAGCGCCGTGTCTCAACACGCAGAGACGCCCCGGCCCCGCTAGGGTTGTCACGATAACAACATGTTCAACTCCATACCGATACTCAGGAAAATACTGGATACTCAATACCATTTTTGATACCACAAGGATAAAGGAGAAAAACAAAGACCCGAAAATTTAACTGAATTGTGACAGGTTAGTGTCTTTGGTTTCAAACTTGGCCCACATTAATAACCCTAACCGTGACCCTAAACCTAAACAATAACCCTGACCCTAAACCTAACCCTAAACCTAACCCTAACCCTAACC